ATATAAAACCGCAAAAGTTAAAAATAATATTTGATATTTGTAATAATTGTTGACATGGACGGAAGATTGAGAATTTTGTTTTTTTTTAAAAAAATGGAGGGGCATAATTGAGGAATTTTGATACTTTTGGACATCTTCTATGGAAATCGCTCAAGATTTGATCTCAATTCAGTAACAAATTTTCAATGTTGTTGTTCACAATATCTTTAAATATCTACCTCTCAAAATCAATATACTTCCTCCATTAATGGTAAGTTGCAACAATTGTACCGGGCGGAGGCCAATGCAAAACTTTTAAAGGGTGTTTAGGTGAGGGTAGTTGTAAATAGGGGCATGTGATTAATTGAATAAAAAGGAGGGAAAGGGGGGCTCGGATTCTTTTAAAGAGGAGATAGAATCTGAAATTTTTGGGGAAAATTTTTTCCCTCCAAACATTTCACTCTATTTTCACACCAATTTTTTCCCTCCACTTGAATTTTTCATTCAAGGGAGGGTATTTAAACTACCTGCCAGAAAACACAAGTCACATTTCACACCAAATTTTTCCCTTCGCTTGAATTTTTCATTCAAGGGAGGGTATTTAAACAACCTGCCAGAAAACAGAAGTCAAAGTTCACATAAAAACCAAAAGTCACAAATCCATATTACACCATTGTTTCTTCATAAATTACAGAAGCAAGCTATCATCCTAAACCTAATTAGTGCTAAGTTAGAAGCAGCATCTTCATCTCCTTAGGTTTTTCTGGTTCAGCTCAGCACAACAACAAAAAAACAGCCACCCCACTTCATTACCAGTCCTCAAATCTGTGGAACTCAAGATCATTAGATTATCAACCATGGCAGACATTTTGGATGATGATTTTTTCAGCATTGATCAAATGCTAAATGATGAAGGCAATATGGAAGACAATGATTCAAGCAATGAAGGAACTCACAACAATGAAGACAATGTGTTACATGAAGAAGCAATACAGCATCCCAAAGCCAAGAAAGAGCTAACTGTTTCCCAAAAAAGAGAAATTGTTAATGTTGTTTTATTGAAGCTGGAAGGTGGGGAATTACCAAGAGGGTTTTTAATACAACAAGCACTCGAGTTCAATGTCCACAGGTCAACAACTCAGAGGTTATTCAAAGACATAAAGTCCCAAATGGCAGTGGGGAATGTGATAGATGTCAGAAGCAAGAAGCTTGGAAAAATTGGACCCAAACCAACAGAGTACACAGATGAGTTTCTGCAATCAATCCCTTTGTACAAGAGGACAACTGAGAGAAGTTATGGAGCTCAAAATCTTACATGTCACCATCCACAAGTTAAAGAAAAAAGGGAGACTCAGAACGCATACAAGCACAAATCACCCTGACATCCAACCATAAGATAGCAAGACTAAAATGGGTTTTAAGTCATCTACTCCATGCTGCAGAGAATGCTAACCCTAAGTTTGAGGATATGCAGCAAGTCATACACAGAGGCTGATATAACAACCTAATTCCCAAACACAAGCAAACATATAGCCAATAATAAGAATTTATCAAGATCTGACAGAAATTATCACAAATAGCCAACAAATTCTCAACAGTAGCCACAAATTACCCACATTTATCATAACAACAGAGGCTAATATAGCCACAAAGTAAGGGTGTTTAAATAGCTTGCCAGAAAACAGAACTCAAAAACGCCATAATTTAACAATAATGCCCACATTTATCAACAACAACCCACAATTTAGTAATCATAAGCCACAAATTACCAACATCATGCAACAATTACTACCAATAAGGCACGACATAGCAAATAGAGGCTAATTATCACATCCAGCAAGCAAATCAGAGACTCATAGTAATTGAACGCAATAAATCCAAAAATTTAAGGGTCGGAAAAGAGTTACGCTACGGAATTAGTTAGAAGGGTTGTCATCCACACCACCATTAACAACCTCGTCAACAGGGGACCCAGATCTACCCCTTTTCTTGCTAGTGACAACTCCAGTAGCCCGAGATCTACCCAGATCTACCGCCTCCTCTACAGTCTTCTCCGGCGTAGGGGCTACAGAAGGGGGTTCAGCAACCTCACTCTTCACAACATCAACAACAAGACCCTTCTTCTTCGAACCCTCACCCTTGTTGCCTAGATCTACAACCTTAGATCCCTCACCTTCCTCATCAGAGTCGTAAGGAGCAAGCTTCGCACCCACACCATACATACGGCGGATATCCAGGTAAGTTGCCCTACGGGTTCCAATCAACCTCATCTTCCAGTACGACGCTGGCATTTGTAGGTCGCAATTACGTCCTCATCTGGTTTCTTCTCGTTTGGGGAACTCATTTTTTTAGGTTTTTCAAAGAAGAAAGTAGGTAAACCAGATCTACAGAAATTAGGGTTTCAACGATGACAGAGAGTGAGGTAAACCAGATCGACAGAGGAAAAGAGAGAGAGTGAGGTAAAATAGATCAAAAGAAGAGAAGAGAGAGGGTGTTGTCATCTGGAACGCTTTCCAGATTTAAATGACTGAACAACCTCATTAATGGAGGTAGTTGAGGGATGAATTGAATGAGGTAAACCAGATCCAAAGAAGAGAAGAGAGAGAAAGTGTGGTGAAATCTGGAACGATCTCTAGAGGTAAAGGTGTGAACAACCTCATTAATGGAGGTAGTTGAGGGACGAATTGACAAGGGTTTGTGAGAAGATGAAGAGGGATCTGATGAATGGTTGGGAAAGGGGATCTAGGTGAGGGTAATTTTTGGTGGGAATCATTAAGTTAGATTTGTGGATAATAGGGATATTTAATTAGAATAACAAAGTAGGTTAGTATATAATCAGTTTTTATCAAGGGCAGGACGGTAATTTTGTCATTAAAAAAGTTACTAAAAAAAGAAAAAAAATAAGTTTGTTGCAAATAATAGGTAACACCTATTTATAGTATATGTTTCAACTAACCATTAACGGAGGAAGTAATTAAATTTGTAAAAACTTGTATGTACACTATACAAAATATTTAGTGGTTTGAGTGGTTTTAAATGATAATAAAGTGGTTTGACTTGATTCCAAGCACATGCGTAAGCAATAAAGAAAATAGCATTATGTTACACTAATACTTACAACGAACAATTGGACACCACAACTTAATCTGCATAACCAACGATGGTAAATTGGTAATCAGTCTAAGTACGATTTAGTTCATATTCAGGCGATAAGTATTTCATTTACAATTTGTATCAAATTAGATAACTTTCAAATCTATTAACATTTATGAAGTATAATCATGCAAAATGCATCAATTTCGTTCATATTTACATCAAGTAGGGTCAATTCAAATAATCCAACATTGAATATGAGACATATATGAATTGGATAACTCAACTTGCCTCCAAAAATTAATTTAAATCGAATTGGTTTTACCAAGTCCACACCTAGAGACGAAATTGGGCCAGGCTAATATAATGGTCGGTTAGACACGACACGAAATTAGCTCAACCCAACACGGCACAATAAGCACACGGGCATGAGTTGTCGCATGCGCTTCAATAACAAATTGTAGCACGATCACGATAGGCTGGTTGACCAATTTACCCATAAATTATTAAGTGCCCGTCAGCATGACCCGACACGCAGTAGGGGTTGTACTGGGCCTCGTTTATAAAAGACCAACATGAGCTCAGCATGACACGAGCCACATTATAAATACGACCTGCTTGAGCACAAGATACTCTGGTATTGATACGTGGACCTATACAGCATAACCCATGCCCATCTTTACCCGAACCTAGAGCTGATCAAGTATGGCACGGCCCGATTTTGAACGGGTTTTGGGCAAAAAATTTCGACCCAAAATTGGGTTAGGCCCAGCCATTTTGGGCGGGTTTGGGCACAAAAAATCCGACCCGAAGCTAAGATCGTCTCGTCCCGTCCGCCCCGCCCAATGATCACCTCTACCCGAACCTAATTTTAGCTCTAGCCAATCCAACGAAGTTTGAACTTCATCTTTGATCTTTCTCGTAACTCGTAAGAGCTGAGCGCATCAAATTCGAGAAGAGTAGAAAAGTCTTTCTATGACGAACAGAGTAAGCGATTGAATCACCATAAGTTTGAACCATTGACGCAATTGATGATTAATCGAATGCTCTCTCTCACCAACCCCATCTCTATGAATATCAAAAATTAATCAATTCATTTCATAATTTTATAATTTATCTCTGCAACTTCTCACTTCACTCAACCCCACTAAAATTCAGGTTCGTTTTAAATTTTATTTTTGTTAGCATTAATTCCATCATAATTTCTATTGTCGTCAATTCGTCGCATTTTATTTTTTTGGCTTGTGATTTTGTATGATTTTCTTCATTTGATTGAAATTCCATGTTTCAAAATTGTATATGAAGTATTAATCAATTCAATTTTACTTAATTTTTCAATTAAATTGTCCTGTATGTTAATGAGATATTAGTTCTATATTTGTTAATTAGGAAATTATTTTTGTTGGGCAGACTTTTATTTTATGGTATAAGGAGTAGATAATATTGAATTCTCTGTTAAATTTTAATTCCTAATTATACTTCTCATGATATCAAAAGTGTGGAATCAATTAACTTTGAAGTATTAGAATATGTAATTTAGATTTTGTAACTAATTTTTTATTTTTAAATAAATATCTGATGTAGATTGTAGTATAGCAAAATGACAATAATAAAATGTCAAAGTTTTTTGATTAGTTACATGTTGATGTTTTACTGGAATTATACATAACGTATTAGGATCCAGGGAGCTTTAATTCTTCATATTCAAAGTAGTGTGTGAAAGAGAGGTGCCGAGTCAGTAGGATCCTTTTCAGTCATCCCTACCTACCTGGGTACCTTAAGTAATGTGTATTGCATTGTAAATGTGACCCTCCTTGTTAAATAGGGAGGCAAGCTCAATGCATAAGCGGTGAAAAAGCTTAATCCACTGTTAAACTTGATATATATTTGCTACTTATTGCCATTTACAGAATCAGCTGAGTATGGCTCCGAGACTACACATGCGAATTGCCTAGGATGGGCAGCTAGAGATCCATCAGGGGTTCTATCGCCTTATGAATTTAATCGCAGGTATGATGAAGGGTATTGCATTTTTCTTACGTGGATGCACCATTTTATGAGGAGTTTATGTACTGAATTATAAGTGCACTTATTAGGGCTGTTGCAGCGGATGATGTATCAATTAAAATTACACATTGTGGAGTGTGTTATGCGGATGTGGTTTGGACAAAGAACCTTCATAGAGACTCCAAATATCCTGTGGTGCCTGGGTATGTAGCTATATAGTCTAATAGCAAATGAAATGTAAAACACTGAAATTAGCCTTCTGGATCTGATGAAATTGTGTTTTCTGTGTTTAGCCATGAGATAGTTGGAATAGTGAAAGAGGTTGGGCAGAATGTTGATCGTTTCAAAGTTGGGATCATGTTGGAGTGGGGACTTATGTCAACTCATGTCGAGATTGTGAGTATTGTAATGAGGGGATGGAGGTGAATTGTGTGAAAGGTTCAGTCTTTACCTTTAATGGAGTGGATGCAGATGGTACAGTCACAAAAGGTGGTTACTCTAGCTCTATTGTCGTTCATGAAAGGTAATTATCAAGCAATTTTAATTTCCTTCTTTCTCATTGAGATCACAGCGACACATTTATAAATAATATACACTTGTACACAAGAGCATTATGGACTATGTATGTATAGATTAAAGCTATTTTTATTTATTTTTTTTATTTTTTTAATTGTAGAGTAGATCTGGATGACTTGTTTAAACTGATTATAATCAGGAGTCTAGACAAAACCTCGCTGTAGAATCCTGTGTTAAGTTTCCGTCTTTAAATGACTTTAGCTAGCATCTTTGCAGCCTAGAGGAAGATGTTTGATATTTGAGTAACATTACAACCTATATTGACACATTTAGCTATTATATTTGCTGGTTGCAGTAATTGATAGCTTCCTATTGCTTTTAAGTCCAACTATTTTAGTTGTTAGCCATTTCTATGCATTTTTCTTTCATTGCTCAGTGGGTTCGTTCCTGCCCATTGGATATAATAGAATTAGGTAGCTGAAGGCTATTTCAACACAGCTTCTTAGCTTTCTTACAATGGTTCCTATGTGCTAATTATAGATGGCTCTTTTTCTCTCAATGTGTCTTGAAAGTTTGTTGTATTACATCAATATGTGTACAAGAAAATCTTTTCCTTATGTACCTTTACTTGTTTTTAGCATGCCAGTGTTTGAATATTTTAAATAAAGAATGATCTAGAAACCAGTATATTTCGTTTTTCATAGATTGTTTGATATGGGGTTCAAAAATCTCTAGTTTAGTAGATGTGTTATTTTTCAGGTACTTCATTGTTTCTTCATGCTTATTCAATGTCTAGAATTCAATATGTTATCCTATTATGGTTCAATTCTTGGACACTAACACACTTCATTTTATATTTGAACATGAAAAATTGTTTAAGATAATCATGAAGATGACTAACAAAGTAACAAGTTGGAGTAGTACACCTGTAATTGCTGCTATGCATCAGTATTAAGGTTGGGGCACTTTAAGTAGCAGCATAATAGGCGTTATTAGTGGCTTGTAGAATTGAGT